CAAGCCAACCCTGGACATGCAACATGCAGGTCTTGTCCTTTCTCTTCTATCATGTGTCCTTTTTTCCCCACTTGTACTCAGTACTCAAGACCTCTAGAGATGGGAAAGGAGCATCCACTCTCCTGTGGGAGGCAGGATTGTCAGAAACCACTTTACCACTTTTTCTCCAAACATTTATCACCTCAAGCCTAAAGTAAAATGAGAATTCAGAGAGAAAAAATATATAAATTATACGTAAAGTCCTGTGAGTGTTTTGCCTAGGGCATGGGAATAGAGTACATGTAAAATGATTTTTCAGGCCCTTCCAAGACTAAATCTCTTTTGATCACACACACACACACACACACACACACACACACCACACACACACACATTGTGTATTTTTAAGACCAGAGAGTTGCAGAATCATGGGACTTTTGAGATGGAAGGAACTATAGCCCTCACCCAAACTAACCCCTCATTGAAACCTGAGGAAAAATATGCTTACCCACTTCCCCTGAGATAGGAGGGGAAAGATCAAAGGCTCCCAGGAGGCATTTCACTAGGAACCCTAAGTGGTATGGGGAGAACTCAGAGCTGAGTGCATCAAGTCCTGGGGCCAGAAAGGACAGGACAGCAATGGGGACACAAACCAAGCAAAACAAGACAAATCAGGGAATAGTCTGATCTCAGAAAAGAGACTTTTCCAACTCTCTGAAGGAACACAGAGATGTGCTGCCCCTAGCAAAGTGTACCAGGAACATCGGCCTGAGGCGGCCTAGCCGTCCCAGAGAACTGAAGGACATAGAAGTTAAACTTTAATAGGAAAAGCTGTCTTCTTAATGAGGCTGAGCTAGAGCTGCAGGGAGAGAAATGAGGGAAGGGTAAGAAGAGGCAACCACAGCTAACACTCACAAAATGATTGTGCAATTAGCATCCGGATGGATAGGGCACAGGGCAGCAAAATGACACAGTGGATAGGGCTGGGCCTGACATTAGACTCATCTTCATGCGTTCAAATCCAGCCTCAGACACTTACTAGCTGTGTGACCCAGGGCAAGTCACTCAACCACGTTTGCCTCAGTTTCCTCATCTGTAAAATGACCTGGAGAAGGAAATGGCAAACCATTCCAGTATCTTTGCCAATAAAACTCCAAACGGGGTCATGAAAAATCAGACATGACTCATGTTTAAATCTAAATAAGGTAAGGAAGTTATAATGGAAAAAGGGGAGGAGTCAGGAGACCTGAATTCAAATCCTGGACCTCCCACTTAGTAGCTGTGTGATGCTGAGAAAGTTTCTCTCTCTCAAATCAATTTGATCTGTAACATGAAACTAATGTGAGAGATAGGTGTTAAAACTCTCTTTCTTTTGTCATCCAATGTAAACTTTTTGAGAATAGGGTTTGGTTTTGTTTTTGTATCCCCAGCATCCAGATCCATGCTTGGCATTTAGTAGGTGCTTACTGAATACTTGTGGTTGGTTGGGCTGACTGGTGGATTGGTTGGTAGAGGGGCCAGGAGCAATAGACACAGAATAATTTCCCTGTTGTCAGACTGCGTCTCCACGTTGGCAGGGTCCTTTAATTGTTCTTTGTTGGAGACAGAGCAGGAAACAATCACGGTTAGAAACCAAAAGACATCAATGCCACTCTTTTTAAAAATGTAAAAGGCCAGAAAGTGAAACGGCTCACAATATTTGCTCTATGCCATCCTCTGTCACTTCCCCTCCCAAATGTTAGGAGGAAAACCCTTAAAAGAAATAGACTTTGATTAAGGAAAAAACCAGGCTCACAAACAAGCTCTGTTCTCCTTATATTAGATGGCTGAGAACCAATGAATCCTGAGGATTTTTAAGGATTCAAAATCAGGAAGCCTGCACATTCCCCAGCATGGTGTGGGGTCAGGCAAATACAAGACTGTCTCATTGTGGTGTGGAGGTACCTCTGAGTTCTCTGTCAAAGCAAAAGCCCCACCATCTCCTGCCAAGCTATAAAGGAGGCCTTAGTCATGGACCGGTGTATGTCCATCATACAAGACATAACTGCTCTGTCTCCCAGGTTCACAGCCTCAGTGTCTCAGCTCCTCACTGACTCACCCCCCCATGCCCAGTCATTCGACATTTCTACCTCTAAACCTCTCCAAGAGCTTGTGACTGCTCACTAAGCCACCACCATAGTTCAGGCCCTTGTTACCTCTTGCCTGGGCTCTTGAATTACCTTCCCAATGGGCTTCCCTCCCAGTCTCTCTCCACTCCAAGCCAGCCTCCTCACAGCTGGCAATGGTTTGGCCAGAGCACAGATCTGACCATGTCAAACACCCCTCCCCCACAACTCACGAAGATCCAGAGGTTCCCTGAGATTGCACATATGATTCCACAAGACACCTCTGGTGGCTTTTGAAGCCCTTCACAGCTTATCTCCCACCTCATACATTGCTCCCCTCCCCATACCCTGGTCCAACTAAACTGACTTTCTCGCTGTGGCTCACACAGGATGCTCCCTGTCCTGCTCCTTTGGGTTTTTGCTGTGCATCCCCCATACCTGCAATGTTCTCCTCCCTCAACTATGCCTCATAGAATTCCCTATTTCCTTCAAGAAAACCTCAGATTCCACCTTCTAGATCAGAGTTTTTTAACTTACAACCACAAATTTGTTTTAAAAAATATTTGGATAATTATTTCAATGTTATTGATTTCCTTTGTAATTTTATGTTATATTCATTAAAAAAATATTTTGAGAAGGGGCTCATAGACTTCCTCAGGCTGTTAAAGCAGGGTACTTGACACAACAGAGGTTAAGAACCCCTGTTGAACATGAACCCTTGCCTGATTTTCCCCACCCCAGCTACTGGTGTCCTCCTTCTCTGAATGATCTTTTAAAATTTGCATTTATTTTTATGTATTTGTGTTTGTACATCTCTGTATTACCATAAAACGTAATATCCATAATGTCTGGGAGGGCTTCACTTTTGTTTGTATTCCCAATGCTATTTCTAACCCTAACTTGGCATGCAAGTGGTGATTAACAAATGTTTGTTAATTGAACATTTGAGAGTCTTCTGGGCACAGCAACTGGAGAAGACACAGACTTTATCAGTAGAGGGTGCACAGGGACAAAAATCATCAAGCTTGGGTGTGTTGGAGTTGCTCCCAAGACCCCCCCCCCCAGGTCAAAGAACATGAGGGCCTCAAGGCATCTTCCAGATCAAGCACAGGCTGTTCATTTGACTAATGAGGACACTCAGGCCCAGAGAAGAAATGTCTTGCCCCAGGTCACACATGTCAGGGCCTGGACTAGAACCTGATGTCCAATCTTCTTGTTAGTACAGCTGCTTCCCACACAGAAGGATGCAAAGGTGAACTGAAGACTCCATCCTGGACCACTGGCCAGCTCCCAGGTTACTGAGCAGAGCAAAATGTGCTCAGCTTTTGGCCTTGCTTAGACACCCCCTCCCCACACACACACCTTTTTTTTAGCCCTTCCTACAAAGAGTTCTTCCACCCTGGTGCTTAATCTATGCCCCGTGTTTCCCAGATGGATGGGCCCTTTGTCTATGGCACTTTACACCCTCCCCCTCCAGTATTGCCTACAGCTGCCTGGTTTGCTAAAATCAGCCCTCAGCTCTTGACCTGTCTTAGATGAGTTGCCAGCCAGTTTGGCCTAATCTCATAGGTCTGAGTCTTGGGAGCCCCCAACCAGTGCCCTGAAAGATTGTGGCTCATGTCACTGGTCCTACCCTCGACCCTCCCAGTAAGTGGGGTCAGGTGCAGTAAAACACCCAGGAGAGCTGCCGTCTACCGAAAAGGGGCATTCTCAGTGTACCAAGAATGTGAAAGCTAAGGCCAGGATTGAAAGGACATAAAGTGACATTCTGTGTGATTATCTGCACAATAAACAACAGTCCAAAGTTACAAGCAAATGCCTAAGATAAACCCTCTTGAACCCTTGTTCCCCAAGAGCTACAAGAACAGGAAGAAGAATCCTAGATAGATGGGGGGAAAAAAGACCAAATCAAAGACTTTTCCCTCAATATTTGGGAACTTAGCCACCACATTAGATAATATTTTGGTGTTGTAATATGAGAAGTAGAGGAAGGAGCACGGTTTTGGGGTCACTACCTCGATGACCTTGGAACAAGTCACTTAACTTATCTCAGCCTCAGTTTCCTCATCTGGAAAATGAAGGGGTTACTTGAGATGATCTCTAAGTATTGTGCACATTCTGAGTCCTAGGATCCTAAGGTCTTTGGAAACTCCTGGACACAATTGCAATGGTGCTGAGCTTGGGGCAAGGCCTGCATTCAGACACCACCCTCCTCTTGTGCCTCCTGACCTTGGCTGCTGGTCAGGGTTTCCCTTTAGAGACTCTACTCAGACAAGGCTTCCCAAGCCCTGCCTTTTAGCCATCACTCAAAAGTGTGACCTAAGAAAACAGGAGCATTTTCTAGAGGGATGGAAAGAAGCACAGAGGTTAGACTGTTTTGTTTTTGTTTTTGTTTTTGTTTGTTTTAGGCTATTGGGGTTAAGTGACTTGCCCAGGGTCACACAGCTAGTAAGTGTTAAGTGTTTGGTCTGAGGCCGGATTTGAACTCAGGTCCTCCTGACTTCAGGGCTGGTGCTCTATCCACTGGTGCCACCTAGCTGCCCTGAGGTTAGACTGTTTGCCCAAAGATAATGTTTGGGGGGTTGTTTGTTTTTTGCTTTTTGGTGAGGCAATCAGGGTTAAATGACTTGCCTAGGGTCACACAGCTAGTAAGTGTCATGTGTCTGAGGCTGGATTTGAACTCAGGTCCTCCTGACTCCAAGGCCAGAGCTCTGTCCACTGCACCACCTAGCTGCCCCCAAAGACAATGTTAAAAGGTACTTAGAACACTTCAAATTAAGGAAACATGTATTTCAGAAAACTAAAAAGTGATTAGTGGAGAAAACATAGGATCACAAATAAATGGGTGAATAAGGCATTTAAGAGCTTACTATGTGCAAAATGTTGGAGAAACAAATAAAAAACTAAGATAGCCACTGATTTGTGGAGCTTATATTCTAATGGGGGGAGACACATATATGGAAAGTTTTAGCTGCAAGTCAGATGGAAACTCCCATGATCCTCAGAGTGTCAAGGCAAAGTTTCTTCTATAATGTCATTTCCACTGATAAAATCCTATCATTTTCTGATGTTGAACCATTTGAAAGGCCAAGGACTTTGGTGCCAAGAACTTGCTTTTCTGGGCCTTCGGTAGCTGTGGCCGTAGCCTCTGCTATAATTGCCAGGCATCATATCCTCAGAGGCTGCTTGCCAAGATGATGGCTAGGGGCCCTGGGCTGGATGCCTACCTGTTCCCAAGGCTCTTGAGTTCAGGGTCCTGGGCTGTCTCCATTAAGGTCTAAGAGGAGGTGGCCAAAGATGGTAGTGTGCTTTGCCCTACCTGGCACACACCGCCTCCTGTTCTTCCCCAGGGTGACTGCTGCTTCAGCCAAGCTGGCTACATGGGTGGGAGCTGGTGGGAATGATGGCTTCTTCTCTGCAGGAGTTATTTCCCCATGTGATTGTTATGAGGGCTGAGCTGGGATTAGGAATGGTGGTCTGGAGAGGATAGGGTATGGTTATTTCCAAGACTATTCCCAGGTGCCTGTCTGCCTGTTGGTGACAGTTGGCCAGCATTCATTGATGGTGGTGATGAGGAAGCCTGGATGGGGCCCTGGAGGACATTGATGCCATTCTGCCCCTATTTTACAACTGAGGAAACTGAGGACGACAAAGGTGAAATGTCTTACCACAAGGAAGCGTCTTGGTACAGCTGAGATTCGTAAAGCAGATTGCAGTAGGTACATCAAGGCAATCATAACTTCCCTGGCCTGTGGCTGGTTATTTTTGCAGCTTCTGGAAGTATTTTTAGACATGAAAATTCCTTGACAGCGTCATTTAACAGTTCCAATCAGTGGAACAGCAAATTCATGTTTTCTTGTGGCATCTGAAAGGAAGGGACAGAAAATGGAATCTGAACATGTTGCAGAGGAAAGAAGAAAAGGAAATAAACATGCATTTATTGAGCAGCTCCTATGTGCCAGGCACTGTTCTAAGAGCTTTACAAACATCTCATTCCATCCTCGTACAACCCGGGGAGGTAGGTGCTATTACTATCCCCATTTTATAGATGAGGAAATTGAGACAGAGCTTGGGTGACTTGCCCAGGGTCATAGAGCTAGTAATGGTCTGAGGCAGGATTAGAACTCAAGTCTTCCCAATTCCAGGCCCAGTGCTCTATGCACCAAAGCTGCAGCTCAATTTGTAGTTTTTAAAAAACAAAACCAAAAAATCTTGAGTTTGCTTTTCAGCTCTATTTATTTTTTGTGTTGCCCAAATCACTTCGTATTTCTGAGCCTCAGTTTTCTCACCTATACAATAAAGGAATTGGCTTAGATGATGCATAAGACCCCTTTGGCCCTAAATACTATGGCCTAGGGTGGTCTTCACTACCAGCGAGTTTTAGTGGGGAAAGTGTCAGATTAAAATCAGGAAAGATCTGAGGGCCTCACATCCTGCTAGGAAAGGGGGGACCTCACAGACTTCCTCTGTAAAAGGGACTTGGACTTGATGACCTCTGTGGTTTCTTCCATCTTTAAACCTTTAAACCCCATACTGTCTACTCAGATAGCTACTTGAAAGAGAGAATGTGGAGGTGAAAGTCACAGGGGAAAGTCTAGAAAACCTTGTTTGGGGTCTTAGTTCTACATACAAATGAATATACAGAAGTGAACAACGGTTTAAGTTTCATCCTATGATATATTCTAGAGCTAGAGGGGACCTCAAAGATCATTAAACCCAACCCCCTTCATTTTACAAACTGAGGCAGAGGGATGTCAGGTACTTTGCCCACAGTCCCCATAGAGTAAGTATCAATTATCCCTTTCCTCTCTGATCAGTCTGCAAGTGGGATCAAAGGAAAGCATAAGCAGAATGTAATCACTTTTGTCTTTTATCTCCCCAGAGCCTGGCACATAGAGAGTAGTCATTCAATGAATATTTTTTGATTCCTTCCTTTTGAATTTCCTAAAAGGGTGAAGTCTTACCTCCCGTGGATACATGCTATATCAGTGTGTGTCCAGGGGACAAAAGATTTTTCAAGGCTCAGAGTTTCTGTCAGCCTTGGAATGGTGTTCAAGCACGCACTCATCTGGAAAATGCAGGGGATCCTTTTTGCCTCCACTAGTCTCCGGTTTTAGCTTGAAAACCGGTGAGTTTCTTTCTTTCTCTTTCATATCCTTCTGCAAGCATGTATAAAACTGACCCAGAGCCTGGAGAAGAGATGAGGAAAGATGCCCCCTCCCTTCTTTGCAAAGGCGGGGGACTATGGGTTTGGAACATTGCATACACTGTAAGATGTGGTTGACTTATTGCCTAGTTTTGCTGAATACCTCTTCCCACCCCTACCCCTACCCCAGTCCCTTTACTTTCCCTCTCTTTTTTTGTTACTATGGATTGCTCACTGGGTAGGGTAGAAGGTAGAAGCATATCTTTAAATAAGGGTAACATCAAAATAAAATACCTTAATTTTAAAAAGCTGTGACTTAGAGGCACATTGGGTTGTTAGCCACAGCCTGATCTCCAGGCTTTCAATAGCCTCGAGGAGCCCTTGGACCAGCGCTGGCTTGAGAAAGAGGATCTGTTGGACCTCAGGGCTCAGTTTGTAAAACATGAAAAATCATCCAAAAAGGCAGGAGAAAGGGGCATGCTGTGTGAGGGGCATGCTGAAATTTTCATATCCAGTGTAGAAGAGGAGGAAAAAGCCAGGAAAGTCACAGAACCAGCCTGAACAGGCTTAGGCTCTCCTTTAGCCATCTAGTTTGGGAATGGGAAAGCACATCTGGCTTTCTCTCTTCCAGTAGCATGTTGTATGTTACAGAATTTAAGACTAGAGGGAGCCAGAAAAAAAGAACTCCTTCTCTTCCTCCCTCCTCCCTTCCTTCTCATCTTCCCTCTCACTTTCCTCCTTCCCTCCTTCCTTCCTTCCTTCCTTCCTTCCTTCCTTCCTTCTCCTTCCTTCCTTTCTTCCTTCCTTCCTTCCTTCCTTCCTTCCTTCCTTCCTTCCTTCCTTCCTCTGTTTTACAAAGAGGCAGTGGAATAAAGAAGCTAGCAGGCTGAACCTGGAGTCAGGAAAACCTGGATTCGAATTTTTGGTGGGGAGAGGGGGAGTGATTCACTTCCTTAGCAAATTCCATTTGTAAGCCGGATGCAGATGGAGACTCTCCCCCCTCCTTCCCCCTCCCCATCTGACTCAGGCCTTGAGTCTGAGTTTCCTGGCCAGAGTTGGGAGACCAAAAAAAGCCAAAGGCAGTAATGGTCTTTTCCACCGAGGTCTGGGACTAATCTCTAGCTGTTCAATCCCACCTTCCCCTGTGCCCCATTATTAGTTTGCATCCTGAGAATTCCAGAGCCCAGCACTCACTCATCCTGCAGTGATGAGGGAGGCCAGAGGGACAACTGTGAGAGGGAAACCAGTCCCATAATGTCTTGTCTTGACCCTCCCCCCTTTGATTCCAACGCATCCCCCAGCTGTGCCTCTCACTCCAGCTACGTCCCTGGGCACAGCATGACCTTAGCTCTCTCCCAGAGGGCAGCTCATTCCTAACATAGCCCAGCAGGGAGAAAGGCGGAGCATTCATGGGGATCTGCCCTGGATCTTATCAAACTGTCCCATTCTCATTGTTCAAACAGCTCTGAAATCTTCCTCCTGCTCCACAAATTAATTACCAACAAACAAAATGTATTAAGTACTGCCTGTTTTAATTCAATTCAATTCAACAGGCATGTGTTAAGGACCTAATACACACCAAATACCAGGCGCTTTGCTCTGGATGTAGAATCAAAAATCAGTCTCTATCCTCAAGGACATTTCATTCTACTAGGAATGGAGGAGTGGGGGAGAGAAATAATATGTATACGGATAGTTAAGTATAACACACACACACAGAGAACATGCATAAAGCTTGTCCTATCAATCAAACAAGTATTTATTAAGCAATCCTCACACTTAAGCAGCTTACATTCAAATGGGGAGGCAAAGAGTAATGTGTCCCACCAGCAGCAGCAGCAGCAGCAGCAGCTTCCAGAGATCAGCGGGATAGTGACCCCGGGGGAAGGGGTCGTTTAGTGCGGCTCTGGGAGTTTTGGAGTTAGTAGGGGGATGAGATGCAGGAAATGAAAGGACTTTGGGAGTAAATCAGAGATGGAGAGGAGCGGAGACAGGAGAGTGTTTGAATGAGACAGAAGTAAATGGTGACAGATGGATAACAGCCAGAGAGTGACTTAAGCACCAGAGCTGAGCCTGAGCAAGTCAAAGCAGACTGCCCTCCCCAACTCCATTGGCTACATAGGTTAGAGGCTGATGGGGTAGTCATTCTCATTCTCTCTCTTAGTTCTATCTCCTTCCTCCCTAGAGCTTTCTACCCTTATAATACAGATCTTTCCTTGGGTGATGGTCGCCTTGGTTCATTTACATGGAGCTCATTTTCTATTGTTTTGTTCAGTTTGATTCTGAATGCCATCTGAGTGGGCTAAAGAGAGTGGGTGGGAAGGCTCTTCATAGTTCACAAAATGTGTCAGCTAGGACCTCCTTACTTGCTTGCTGGTCAAAGAATCTACCAGAGGGCAGATTTTGTAAGACTTTTTGTCCTATAGGTTTCGTAGGGGAACTCCAAAGAATAGGACTGAAGGAACGGGGGGGGGGGGGGGGCTGGCGCACCTGGCTCCCCACGTGTTCAGGCTCCCCATGTGCTCTGGCCCCTGAGGCTAGGTGCCTCCTTTACCTAGAAAGAGTCTCTAGAAAGAGCCAAGGGACTCCTCCCAGCCAGCCTAGAGATAGAAAGGAAGAAGCAGGGTGGTTTTGACTTTGCCGTTTTTTGTTAGGGAGGGGCAATAGTGAGACAGACAGACAAGCCAGCAACATCTACCGATTAAAAAGCATATACAAAATACACATAAAGAGAATGAATAAAAGCCATTACAAAGTAGACAAAGCGAGATAATTTGGGAGGAAGAGCCCTAGCAGTTGAGGGAATAATAGTAAAAGCTAACATTTATACAGTGCTTACTACGTGCCAGGAATTATGCTAATCGCTTTACAATTATTATCTCATTTGATTCTAACAACCCCAGAAAGTAGGTATTATTATTATTATTATACCCCCCCTTTTTTTTTACAGATGAGGAAACTGAGGCAAGCAAGGGTTAAGTGACTAGCCCAGGTCACATAGCTAGTAAGTATCTGAGACTGGAATTGAACTCAGGTCTTCTGACTTGCCTCTATACATCGAACGAACAAGGAAAGGCTTCATGGAGAAGACAGTGTCTGAGCTGCATCTTACAGAGGAGTTTTTAGTAGTTCCTAAAATAAATAAATAGGAGTTCACTGCCAGTGATTGAGTAGAAGACTGACCAGGACAGATCTTGGCAAGTCACCTCGTCTCTCTGGGCCTCAGTTTCCTCATCTGTAAAAATAAAGGGATTGCATAATAAGATCCCTCCCTTGCAGCCTTAAATCTATGCTCCTATGAATCTTGTAAGGTAACTACTTTGGGTATTACTATCCCCATTTTCTAGATGATGAAACTGAGGTTACGCTGGAATATATCTGAGGAGCCCCAGGCTCTGCTGACTCCAAGTCCAAGTGCCACCTTGTCTGATATGTTTTTATTGCCCTCCAGTCATTGGTGGACCAAGCACTTATCGAATATCCGCTGTGTGCCTGGTGTCATGCCAAGACACAGCAAGGGTCAGCAACGGTGTAGAAAGCAAGGACGTTGCCTTCAGGCAGCTTACAGTCTAGCTGCAGAGACAAGACACCATACATGAGACAACTTTGGGAAAACTTCCAAGAAGCATGAACACTGGGGCAACTTCAGTTTCATTGGTGAGTGAATCATGCCGGAAACAAGGTGAGAAACCCTGAGGACTGGGGACTTTTCTAACTATTTCCCATTTTATTATCTCTTTTTACTGGTAGGTCTAAACCCTGAATCCTGGCCATTTTAGTCTCAGATCACAAAACAGTATAGGAAGTAGCTTCAGGCTGGACAAACTTTGGGCAATTCCCTGACAGCAAAGAAAAAAAATCTTCCTGGTATTTGTGCTAAGTCACCATGGCCTGGCCTGGTTTCCTATAGCCTTTATAAGGTCATACTCTTGTTCATAGCCTCCTTTGGGCAATGAGGTGCTAGGGACAGCTGTGTATCCGAAATATAAAGAGATCACTGTGTACACATGGTCACGTAGGAAGTGTGGTCAGACAGCTTTGGAGTGGGACCTGGCTCCCAGGCTGCTGAGATGGTTGTTGGTGAGCCCTGAGTCATTGCCCTCAGCCCTCTTCGAAACTGTGGGGATGGACGGACATTTGGGCTCCAACCAATCTGATTCCATGCACACAGCTGCTTCTATTCTCTGTATGTGGCACTTCCTTCAAGGGCAGAAACCAATTAACCAATCGATAAGCACTTATGAAGAACATACTATGTTTAGTACATGCTTACTATGGGCCAGGCTAAGCTCTGGCAATATATTGAAAAAGCCAAAATGGTACCTATTGTCAGGAAGCTAACATTCTAATGTTGGAAACAACACATAAATAACTCGGTACATTCTCTCTCTCTCTCCTTCCCTTCCTCCCCCCTCTCTCTCCTCCCTTCTCCACACAATACATGTATACATGTACATCACATATACATATATACATACCTATATGTATACATGTGTGTCTATATGTGTATATATACATGAGTGTATACACACATATACAGAGTAAATAGGAAGTAATCTTAGAAAGGACAGTAGGTACAGTGGAGGGGATCAGGAGAAATCTACCACAGAAGCTGGCATTTGAGCTGAGTCTGGGGTCCTAAAAGAAGGAAGAGCATTCTGGGCACAAAGGACGGTCAGTGCAACATGGGAGTGGGAGGTGGAGGTGGAGTGCCTCCCAACACAAATATTCACACACACACACACACACACACACTCACACACACACACATACTCACACACACACACACACACACACACACACACACACACACCCCTCTCATGTGTCCAATGACAAAGCTGTTTGGAATATATGGAGAGGACCAGCTTACTGTCCACAGAAGTCTTCCTATGCTCTAGATCTCTCTAAGTGTGAGAGATTAGCACAGAAGATGTTGCAAATAGAGGAGTGGCTCACAAAGTGCTTGCAGGGAGAGGGTAGCCCAGTGGACAGAGCCCCCGGGGAGGCTCTGCTCCTCACAGTCTGGGTGACTCTGAACAGTTTTCTCTTCCTCAGCTTGTTTCTTCAGCTATTAAATGAGAGGCCAGAAGGAGCCAGTTTTTTTTAGTTCTCTACCGGTCAATCAATCAGTGAATCAATCCATTCACCCTCATTTGTTAATGTGCCTGGCACTGTGGCAAATGCTGGGGGTACAAAGAAAAAGCAAAAACAAGCCCCTCCCCCAGTGAAGCTCATATACTAATGGATTAAAATTCTAAGACCTATGAATACTTCTTAGCATTGTGACTCTGGACAAGTCATTTACTTTGTCTCAGCCTTGATTTTCTCATTCTTGTGTAGCAGATGGACTGGCAAGCCAAAGAATACCAGCGTGACCTGAGTCAGGGTCCCTCCATTCTGTGTCATCCATCACATGCTTCTGGAAGCAGGCTCACCAAATTCTCCCCCCTCCCCGAAGATCAGCAGTAGGTAGCCCCTTTCACTTATTCTCAGGACTTGGCCCTCATTGGCCAGCCCCACCCTCCACCCTAATAAGCTTATAATGGGGTTAATAATGGCACCTGGTTCACTGGGTCCTCGGAGAATCAAAGCATTCTGTGAACCTTAAAGGCTTGTGTAACTGCTAGCTATTGGCCATTAGGATCCTAAAATGGCCTTTTCCTCCCCTATTCCAACATGATCCAGAAAAATTGATTGTAAATTGAATTTTTAAAAATCAAATTCTATTTCTTTTTAAATTTAATTTAGTTTTTCTTCACCCCACTTAATAGTATTTTTTTCCCTGAGGACATATAAAGTTTGTTTTCAACATTTGCTTTCATAAGATTTTGAGTCCCCACCCCACCCCATCCTCCTCCCCCCATTCGAGCTTTCCTGATTTTTCTTATTTTCTGTTACGTTTTGTGTCAGCTTACCTAAACTGAGGCTCACTTGAAAGGCTATAAACTCTACTCTGGGTAGAACCATTGACTTAGTATGACCCAGGGCTTGGGAAAAGGACTTTCATCTATATGAAACTAATTTTCTTTTCTTTTTCTTAATCTTTAAACAATTTTAAACTTATTTTTCAAATCAAAATCTGTTTTCTCACCACCACACCTCTTTCCCCCACTGGGAAAAAAAAAAAAGAAGCCATGCCCCTGTAACATATAAGCAGAATGAAGTATACAAATGCCTCCATTGATCACATCCAAAAATGTATATTTCGTCCCACCCCCTAGGTCCATCACCTTTCCACAGAGGTGGCTAGCATGCTTGTGAAGCTCTTTTTCAAGTAAAATAGGATATATAAATACATGTAAAGCTCTTTGAAAATCACAAGTCACTATGCAAATGGTATTTTCATTATTTTCATCATCTTTAAAATTGAACCCTAATTTTATTTCTAACTCCACTTTTAACTTTATTTCTAACTGTGCGTCTCACCTGCTTCAAGTCTCAGCTAAAATCCCATCTCTACAAGGAAGCCTTTCCCAATCTCTCTTAAATCTAGTAACTTCCCTCTTTTGATTATGTCACATTTGTCCTGTATATAGCTTATTCGTACATAGGGGTTTGCAAGTTGTTCCCTCCCCCCTCCCCAGATTGTGACTTCCTTGAGGACAGGAGATGTCTTTTGCCTTTCTTGTATCCCCAGAGCTTAGCACAATGCCTGACAAGCACACAGTAGGTGCTTAATAAATGCTTATTGGTTGACTGAAGATGAAGATGTGCATTGAACTCCGAGTTGTGTCATTGGCCTCTTTATCCCTAATCCTAGCCCTTCCCTGGTCCCTCCAACCCCCAGGCTGTGAGCTCCTCCAGGATAGGGACCATCTTGTCTTTTTATCCCAAGCACCAACTTAAGGGCCTTGCAAATAAGGGGCATTTAATAAATGCCTTTGGCTGGGATTGGCAAGGACAAACCAAGAAGCCGAGAAAGTGCTTACAAGACAGCATTACTCATTCCATAAATATTTCTTCAAACCCCTCCTCTGCTTTTCCATATTGTAGTGTAAAGAACACTGGATTTGGACCCAGATATATAGGATTCAGTATTTGGATCTGGAAGGGACCTCAGAGGCAACCAATGGTCATTT